ATCTTGATGTTTTTTGAAGGCATTTGAGGATCTTAAAGTAGCTTGAATCCATTGCATGTGTTTTGAAACTTTGCAGGGTTGATTACTTCTAAATTCTTGACGCTCGTTGTTGGAAGTCACGCCACTTAGATCCCGGAAGCTACGCCACTTAAATCCCGGAGGCTACCCTATTTGAATCCCGGAGGCACTTCCATAGATAACGTCAGTGAAGAATCAGAGGACTAGACAGAGACTTTGTACCTGCATTGAATTATACACACGCTGTACAGGAAATTTTGTGAATATATACAAAGTTTATTTTTTTGTGTTTACAGATTTTGGCACACCTAGTGGGACCACTCTGCCTCTCATCTCTTCACTGTTGATTCGTGAGCTCTATAAGGAAGGAATCTAAATGGCATCAAGAAATCCCTCCTCCAAGATGACATATGCTCAGGCTACCCGCTCCAGGGCATCATCTGCGGCCGGTTCCGGTGATAGCCAAGGCGTGGGAGGAGCAATGACTCGAAGCCGAGTGAGGAACCTAGGGGTGCTGCTCCACGAGGCCCAGGACATTGCCCGCCACATCGTCCGAAGGATTGACAGAAATTCCACCATGTCACGGAGAGTTGCACATGACAAAGGATCATCCTCTACAAAGGAAACTGTTGCTGACCAGAATCCTACAAGTGAGGGAGCTCCAAGCAACAAGAGTCCTGCGAGCCCTATTCCCTCAAATAAAACTCCAAGCAATGGAAGTTCATCACAGTCGTCACTTCTGCGGAGAACCTCACCGGAATAGAATCACATATACACAATCATGCCCGCTATGACAACGAACGCGGCTTCGGTGGAGGAACAACTCGCAAAAATCATTAAATCTCTCGAGGGGATAGCTGCACTCATGCATAACCAAGAAAGGCGGATCAATGAGCTCAGCGAAAAGGTTGAAAGCGGAAGAAACAGCGAAACAAGTCGGGCTTCCGGGAAGCAGCCTCAAACCCAAGGAGATGAGATTGATGTCGAGTCCCCGCGCCATCAAAGTAGGCCAGGAATGGAAGAGACAATCTCTCGTCCACCACCCGCTGAGAAGAGTATTCCAATTTCTGAGGGCATGATACCTGTCGAGCAGTTGAACGACTACATCATGGGAGCAATTAAAGGGAAGCTCGAGGGAAGACAATCTTCATATACTTACACTAAGCCATATACTCACAGAATTGAAGAAATGAAAATGCCGCTGGGCTATCAACCTCCCAAGTTCCAGCAGTTTGATGGAAAAGGCAACCCGAGGCAGCACATCGCCCACTTCGTTGAAACCTGTAATGATGCAGGAACATACGGAGACCTCCTCGTCAAGCAGCTCGTCCGCTCTCTGAAGGGAACTGCCTTTGATTGGTACACCGACCTGGAGCATGGTTGCATTGATAGCTGGAATGATATGGAGCGCGAGTTCTTGACCCGCTTCTACAGCACAAGGAGGACTGTCAGCTTCTTGGAACTCACCACTACCCACCAATGGAAGGGTGAGCGTGCGGACGCTTACATCGAGAGATGGAGGGAGTTATGCCTTAACTGTAAAGAGAGGATATCACAAAGCTCCGCAATCGAAATGTGCATCCCAAAGGATGCACTTCGAGCTCTCTTATATCTTGCAGGGAATCAAGCCTAGAACATTTGAAGAACTATCCAGTCGTGCTCACGACATGGAGTTGAGCATCGAAGCCAATGGAGGGCTCGGCATGTCAAGTATCTCTAGCTCATCCAAGGCACCTGTAAAACAAGAGTTCAAGAAAGGGGACAAGCCCTTCCCGAGACCAGAAAAGAAGGAAGCCATGAACGTACAAATAGAACCAATGCGGGTTTTCACCAAGGTGACTGAAAATCCTAGGCTAAGGTCATTTTCCCGCCAATCTCGGGGTACTAGAATCATTGAAGAGATGCAGCAAAAACAGTATCCGTTCTTGGATTCTGATGTGTCACCCATGTTTGATGAATTGTTAAAGCTCAAGTTGATTGAATTACCGGAGATGAAGCGTCCTGAAGAAGCTTCTAAGGTAGACGACCCCAACTATTGCAAGTATCATCGTCTCCTCGGAAACCTGATCGAAAAATGCTTCGTCTTTAAAGATAAGGTGATGGGACTTGCTCGTGATGGAAAGATTGAGTTGGCTGATGCAACTGCCAGCACCAACCAAATTTCATGCGGAAGGTTCGCTCCGTTGGTTGTGGAGAGTGACGAAGAAGATGGGGGCAAGCAATACAAACGCCCGCTTCCATTCATTGTGAAACATGTTACTAGGCAACAGCCAGAGTTACCACAGGTCAATCCGGTATGCGAGAAAGATTGGGTAATTGTTACCCGCAAAAGACAAAGGAACAATGTTGGACATGTTAGACCTTTGAAGGGAATAACGAAGCAATGGGTTGAGAGAAAGCCAGCAAGGAACCTCGCCTATGACACAAAGATGAGAGGACGTCCCAGCACGTCTCGAACACCAGTTGCCCTGGCTCAATACATGCCGAAGGCGCTTCCTCCGCATGGGACAAATATTCTTGGAACTCGCTTGAATATTAAAGAGAGACATGTTGAAAAGGGGGAATGTTCATTCCCCGTGATTGAAAGAGGTGACGAGGTTCAAGTCCACAAAGCCGCGTCTTATACCGCCGAGAAAACTTTTAAAGATGAGGATCTATTGCTTGGTGGTACACCACATAATCGTCCGTTGTTTGTTGAAGGTTATGCCCGCGAGCAAAAGATTAAAAGGATTTTGATTGATCAAGGGTCGGCTGTGAACATTTTGTCACTCCGAGCTATGAAAGAACTTGGCATTTCCACTGATGAGCTCTCTCAAAGCCGTTTAATGATTCAAGGATTTAATCAAGGCGGACAAAGAGCAATAGGAACCATCAGACTCGACCTCAGGATCGGAACACTAAACTCAAGTACACTATGTTATGTGATAGATGCAAGGACGTCTTACAACTTGCTGCTGGGCCGGCCTTGGATACATGAGAATGGAGTAGTTCCCTCATCCTGGCACCAATGCCTCATGTTTGAAAAAGGCGGTGTGATAGAAAAGGTAGTCGCTGATGAAACTCCCTTCATTGAAGCAGAATCATACTTTGCAGATGTAAAGTTTTACTTGAAGAAACAAGTTGTAGAAGAGGCTGAGCAAAGCAATGTTGACACACCTCTTGATCCAAAGTGGAAAGGCAAGCAAGTTGTAGACCAAGCTCATTGCGACAGGGAACTTGTTTTCCCACTCGCAAGGATTGAAACATTAAAAGCAGCTCCAGTTAAACTGTTTAAAGATGAAGCTTAAGTTGGGACAAGTCAAACAGTGCCCGCTAAGCGCACTGGCGGCTTCGACCCTAATGCTTATAAACTTCTATTCAGAGCTGGATATAATCCCAAAGAGCCAGGGAAGCTGGGGAAACTCATCCCAGAAGCTGGTGGTAAAGGCAAGTCAAATCAGCAGGAGCCGCATGCGCGCAAAGGATTGGGTTATGTTCCCTCTAAGCCAGTGCGAATATTCATAAACAGAGCCACAAGTAATTGCATCACTTCTACGGACGAGGAGGAAGGTGACAAGAAACAGTCTGTTTTTTATAGAATCGGAGATGTAGAATCACGACAATCAGTCTTCCGTAGACTTGGGCCGAATCCCAAACCTGCTAAGAGAAAATCAGTACATGACAGAATTGGGCCTACTCAGAGTTCGAAGGAGCAGACCAACCCTCCTATTGAAATGGAACCCTCAAAAATGCTCAGGAGTGTCGTCCCTTCTCGCATGAGAAGAGAAGTCAATATCCATGTCTTGTGTGGTGAAGTTTTGAAGGTCCAACCAAGAATCATTGTACACACCCAAGTGCAAGGAAGAAGTCAAGAAAACATTGATTCAAGTTGTGAGGCAACACCAAGTCAAGATGAGATGGCATCGTCATTTCATATAACATTATACGATGAGATTCCAACTGAGGGTGAAGATGCAGAGGATGCGCCTCAAGAGCTAGAAGAAGGGGTACAAGCCGCAGTGGACGAACTAAAAGAGGTGGATCTAGGAACTCCTGAAAGTCCTCAACCTATCTTCATTAGTTCACTCCTTTCCAACGAAGATGAAGAAACATATGTCACACTTTTGAAAGAATATATTGATGTATTTGCGTGGACATACAAGGAGATGCCAGGGTTGGACCCAAAAGTAGCCGTGCACCGCTTGGCAGTGAAAAAGGGGTGTCACCCTATTAAACAAGCTCAACGGCGCTTTCGGCCCGAACTCATTCCCTCAATCGAAGCAGAAGTCAACAAGCTTATAGAGGCTGGTTTCATTCGTGAAGTTAAGTACCCAACTTGGATATCCAGCATTGTTCCTGTGCGCAAGAAGAATGGCCAGATCCGTGTGTGCGTAGACTTTCGAGATCTTAACGTTGCATGCCCGAAAGATGACTTCCCGCTCCCTATCACAGAGTTAATGATAGATGCTGTAACTGGACACGAGATCATGTCATTCATAGATGGCTCATCCGGTTATAATCAAATCCGCATGGCGCCAGAAGATGAGGAATTTACAGCGTTTCGTACGCCAAAAGGTATCTGCTGCTACAAAGTGATGCCCTTTGGTTTGAAAAATGCAGGTGCTACATACCAAAGGGCCATGCAGACTATATTTGACGACATGCTGCATAAAATGGTGGGATGTTATGTAGACGACCTGGTTGTGAAGTCGAAACTTCGCACAGATCACATGATGCATCTAAGACAAGTCTTTGACCGCTTGCGGAAGTTTAGACTCAAAATGAACCCCCTAAAGTGTGCTTTCGGGGTTGCGGCTGGAAAATTCATTGGGTTTACTGTTCGACATAGGGGCATTGAGATCGAACAAGCAAAGATCGACGCTATAATGAAGATGCCTGAGCCAAGGAACCTTCATGAGCTTAAAAGCTTGCAAGGGAAGTTGGCTTATATAAGAAGATTCATATCAAACCTAGTAGGAAGATGTCAGGCCTTTAGCCGATTAATGAAGAAGGGTGTCCCGTTTGTATGGGATGAGGCCTGCAAGAATGCATTCCAAAGCATCAAGTCCAATTTAATGAAGCCACCTGTGCTGACTGCTCCAATTCCAGGACGCTCGCTGATCCTTTACATCTCCGCCCAAGAAAGCTCTGTGGGTGCTTTACTTGCACAAGAGAATGATAATGGGAAAGAAAATGCCCTTTATTATTTAAGTAGAATGATGACGCCAAATGAGCTCAAATATCTGCCAATTGAGAAGTTGTGTCTAGCCCTTGTATTCGCCATCAGAAAGCTCAAGCATTATTTTGAAGCACATACAATTCGACTAGTGTCCAAGGTAAACCCAGTGAAGTATGTCATGGCAAAGGTTGTTCTTTCCGATCGACTTGCGAGGTGGTATTTATTATTTCAATAGTTTGATATCATTTATGTACCACAGAAGTCCATCAAGTGGCAAGCCTTAGCGGATTTCCTAGCTGATCATCCAATTCTTGCTGAATGGGAGCTGTCCAGTGACCTACCTGATGAGGATGTGCTTGTGGTTGAAGTTTTACCTCCATGGAAGATGTACTTTGATGGAGTGGCACACAAAGAGGGGGCAGGCGCTGGAGTTGTCTTTGTTACGCCTGAAGCAGAAGTGCTTCCTAATTCATTTACCTTGACGGAACGCTGCTCGAACAATGTTGCCGAGTATCAAGCACTCATTTTGGGACTTGAAATTGCAGCTGATATGAAGCAGCTAAGGGTTAATATATATGGGGACTCCAAACTGATTGTCAACCAAGTACTTGGGGTTTATGAAGTAAAAAAGCCAGAGTTGATTCCATACAACAGTTACGCAAAGATGCTCCTGCATTGGCTAGGAGATGCTACGATTGAACACATCCCGAGGAAACAGAATAAGCAAGTCGATGCCCTAGCTGCTTTAGCTTCAACTGTATCCCATCCTATAAATGAGGCTCAGTTGCGCGTGTGCCAAAAATGGGTGGTCCCTCCAATCTTCGAAGACGATGACTCTCTTGAAGACATTGTTGAACTCCCGACTGCTTCTGTCTGTGAGGTAGATAAAGAGGATTGGAGGCAATTATTGATTGACTACCTTGTTGATGGGAAGTTACCTCAAGACCCTCGTAGGAGGGTAGATGTAAGACGTCGAGCTCCTCGCTTCATATATTTCAAGGATGCGCTATACCAGCGCTCGTTTGATAGTGTGTTTCTTCGATGTTTAGGTGACGAGGAAGCTTTACAAGCGATGGAGGAACCTCACTCTGGAGTGTGCGGTGCTCATCAGTCTGGTCCTAAGTTACATTTTCACATCAAAAGGATGGGTTATTACTGGCCTACGATGGTGAAGGATTGCATAGACTATGCACGTAGATGTCAAGCATGTCAATTCCATGCGAACTTTATCCATCAACCTCCTGAACCGCTACATCCGACAGTAGCATCTTGGCCATTTGATGCATGGGGCCTCGATGTGGTTGGTCCTATTACACCCAAGTCATCAGCAGGGCATTCGTATATATTAGCAGCCACCGATTATTTCTCAAAGTGGGCTGAAGCAGTGGCTTTAAAAGAGGTGAAGAAGGAAAATGTTGCAGACTTCATCCGAGTGCACATTATCTATCGTTTGGCATCCCTCGGTACATCCTAACCGACAACGAGAAACCATTCGATAATAAATTGATGGATAAAATCTGTAAACTTTTTGAGTTCGAGCAAAGAAATTCATCAGCTTATTATGCAGCTGCAAATGGACTTGCCGAAGCTTTTAACAAAACTCTATGCAATTTGCTAAAAAAGGTGGTGTCGAATCGAAGTCAAAATGTGATTGGCAAGAGAGGATGGAAGAAGTACTGTGGGCATACAGAACTACATACCGTACACCAACACAAAGCACTCCATACTCGCTGGTTTATGGGGTTGAAGCAGTTTTGCCTCTTGAACGCCAAATACCTTCTCTAAGGTTAGCTATCCAAGAAGGCCTTACAGACGAGGATAATGTAAAGTTGCGGTTGGCAGAGTTAGAAGCTCTCGACGAGAAGAGGTTACAGGCTCAACAAAGTCTAGAATGCTATCAAGCTCGAATTTCTAGAGCTTTCAACAAGAGGGTGAGGATTCGCTCATTTCAGGTTGGTGACAAGGTGTTGGCAGTTCGTAGACCTATCATTATTACAAGGAAAACTGGGCACAAGTTTACTCCAAAATGGGATGGACCTTACGTGGTACAAGAAGCATACTCAGGAGGTGCTTACAAGCTAATTGATGAAGATGGTGTGCGAGTTGGCCCTATTAACGGGAAATTCTTAAAGATCTATCATCCCTAAGCGCACGGGCTACATTATGAATGATATCCACCAACAATGCAGCACGTGGTTAAAATGCTAATGCATCTCGCCTGTCTATGGGTGGGCCCAAGTCATAGACGCTCCTGACCGCACGAGCTTAAACTGTGTACGGTAAACTCCTGGCCCGCATGAGTTTAAACTGTGAACGGCATTACCTATTCAAATGGTTCATTGAACTACGTTTGACTTGATCTCCTTTGCAGGAGTACGTAGGCAGCTTAGAAATTTTATTGTCTAAGTTCAGTCATAAAAAAAAAAAAAAGTTTCGTTCACGTTGCGTATAATGGTGATGTTGTAATTAAGTCAAGGTTACGTCAATTATTGGCATGGAAAAGAGGAGGAAGAAGTGTAGAAATTATTACAAGACAACTATCAAAGCATGCATTCCCGCAACAATTGGTCATTGTTTGGTATTTTGGTCATATCTCGGTCTATAATAGTCCGATTGAGGTGATCTGGGTATCGTTAGAAAGCTAACTTACAGAGCTACGACTTTCATGAAGACATCTAAGCTTGGATATGACGTTTGAAGGGTCAAAATTCGAGTAAAAGTTAAGGCACGAATCTGTCCAGAATTTTCTGTGTTTATATCTCATTTAAATCTTCCAAGGAGAAGATATATGGGTAGTTTTCATGGTCCCTTTTAATGTCCAGTGATATTAAAATGTAAGAGAAGTATGCTTTAACAATCCAATAAAGGAACGAGGTAAAGCGAAGCAACAATACAAATTCAAAGCTATAATGAAAAAGCGAGCTAATGGAATGACAGCTTGTGTGGCATCGAGCTATCGTTGAGCATGAATTTCTTTGAACTTCTCTTTCGTGCTCAGGGGTCCAATTGTTAAGGGCGATGGATTAATTGCTATGATTATTGTACATCCCCAGACTCTTTAGTCCCGTTAAATCGTTTGTGTTAAAATTATACCAAATTCGAAAAAAAAAAACCGCGACAAGAAATGTTGTTATTATTATCATTGTTGTTATTATTATCATTATTATTATATTATTATGTTAGTATTACTATTAAAATATCAAAAAGAAAAAAAAAACAAAATAAAAAAAACGAAACAAAAAAAAAAAAAAAAAAAAAAAAAAACGAAACAAAAGAAACAATAAAAAAGGGACAAAGAAAACAAAGAAAAAGTGAAAAACGAAAAGAAAAGGGAAAGAAAGAAAAACGAAAAGAAGAAGGCGCGGAGGCAATCTCCTGTAGCTTTGTACGTGTCATCATCTAGCAATGTGTTGTCGCCATCAGAGTTAATGCACCACAGTTATTAAGGTCCATCTTGGCATCTCCTCATCTTTGAAAGAGAAACAAAATAGTCCACTGTGCACTTTCATAGCTTCACCAGCTCTGTCCCGTACGCAGCAGCATTGACGACGGACTTCGGCAATAACTCCCAGCGACAGCCACGACGATGCAGTCCTACGACCTGCAACAGACAGAAAAGATTTCCGGCGACCCTCAGCGGCTCCGACGACTCCCGCGAAAAACTCCGGCAACTTCGGCGAAAAAATAAAAATAAAAATTCCGGCGACCTTCAACAGATGGTAAAGCTCCGGTGACCTTGACGGTGAAAATTCGACGACCTTGATGGTAAAACTCCGGCGTCTTCTGCAAAGATCTTCGGAAAGGAGCGACTCCCGCGAAGAGCTTCCCTCCTGCAAAACAAGAAGACATCGCAAGCGGTGTTGACGGCGAAGAACCGTCTCTGGTGTACGCAGCGGTAATCTTCCAACTAAAATAAAAAGAACAACAAAAAAAACCTCCAGCGACTTGTTGTTCCACAGGATTGGCAGGAAGCATAGCCTCCTAGTAGCATCAACCTTGGAAACTTCCAGCAACGGCGAACTCCGGCGACCTGCAAAAGACAGAAACAGAGCTCCGCGATAACCCTCCAGCAACGTCGACCTCCAAGCAGTAGAGAAGCAGAGATGAGAAGAAGGCGACTTCAGGCATCGATTTCCAGCGGCGACCTGCAAAAGATAGAAACAGAGCTCCGCGATAACCCTCCAGTAGTGGCGATCTCCGGCAACCTGCAAAAGATAGAAACAGAGCTTCGCGATAACCTCCAGCAGCGGCGATCTCCGGCAACCTGCAAAAGACAGAAACAGAGCTCCGCGATAACACTCCACCGTTGAAGGGCCTCCGGGTTTCGAGTGGCTTGATCTTCAAAGAAGGGCTTGTATATATAGCTTGTTCTTCTTGAAGGACCTCCGAGTTCAAATAGCTTGATCTTCAATGGAGGTTTGGATCAATAGGGGCCGTCGATTTCCAGCAGCGACGGCCTTCATCAACTCCGGCGATCTCCGGTGACTTCTGCGAGGAACTCTGGCGAGAGTAGCAACGAACCTCCTGCGGCATTCAAAAAAGGAAAAAACACTCCAGCGAGCATCAACAGTTCAGCGACAATCTTCCGGGAGCAGCGGTCCTCGACAGATGAAAAGCTCCGGCAACAGTGGCAAAGTTCCAGCAGCCTTTGACAGACGGCAAAGCTCCAGCGATCCATTCACGTTGCTCGTTGTTCCAAATTCTTCCTACAACAAAAAATCAAGCGCTCCTAGAATTGCTTCCTACATTTATGCTTGCTCCCAGGCTCCCTCTTGTTTTATCTTATGCAGCCGTATGTACTTCCATCCCTGAAAATAAAAAATGTATATGGGAAAAGAAAGATACAAAGTTGAGAAATTTACCTGGTTGAGAAGCAGAGCTGTTCTTCGTTGGTCTCTATTTCGTTGATTGCTGTGGGTTTAGGGGTGATTGTGACAGTATTTATAGTGTACTGCGAGGAGGTGTTAAGATTGGATTACACTCCTAATGCTATCCTGATTGAACGAAGTTGTTGGATAATTAGAGTTGATTATGTGCTGAAATTACGTACGAGATAAAGCTAAGTGTTAGTTCCGTTATTCCCTCGCATGATTACTAATGGCAAAGAAGAGTTGACGCAGAATTTTCGCTGGTGCAGTCCCAACATAGTGGAATATGTTATTAACATAAGTTCATGGAATATGTCATTAACATTCTTCCTTTACGGAGAGTATGTCATTAACATAATTTTGATCTCATGGAATATTCAAGTGTATAATTGGACTTGTGAAACTAGAATATATTGTGCCAATTTAATCTTTTGATTTGGGCTCGTGAAATTTACAGACCTGCATTTGGGCTCATGGAACTTTACGATGAACTCAAGAAATATTTAAAATTTCGAGACTCCTTCGCTCCATGCACATTAAACGGCATGTCCCGACAAGTCTCGAGGGGGCAATTTGTAGACACCGAAAATTTGAATTTGACAAATGGACTGATAAATGGTCGGTGGACCGACGTTGAGATTAAACGTTGGGTCAATGTAATTAATTGGATCATATAAATTAATTTAATTTAATTAGTCGAATTAAAATTTGATTTGAGCTATTAAATTAATTAATTAATTGGTCCAAGCCCATTTCATATTTGAATTTGAATTATAGTTATAATTTAAATATAATATTTATTTTATTATATTTGAATTATATAATTATAATTTAATTTGAATTTGAATTAGATTATACAATAATGAACCTAGACTTGATTCTGGGCAAGGTTCATTTTCTAGAATAATTAATTAATTAATTAATTAATTAAAGGGGGAGTTTGTTGAGGAATGTTGGTTAGGCTTCTAGTATAAACAGAGCCTTCATTTTCATTCCAAAAACACACTTGAAAGCTTAAAGACACTTGAAAGCTTGAAGAACTTGAAGACTTGAGGAATTGAGGGCATTTGAAGAGCTTGAAGGCCTTGAAGAACGCCTGAAGGATTTGAAGGCATTTTTTGTTGATTTTGCAGGCAATTTGAGTCCATTGCAGGTACTTTGGAGCTTTGCAGAATCGATTGTCTCAAAGATCTTGATGTTTTTTGAAGGCATTTGAGGATCTTAAAGTAGCTTGAATCCATTGCATGTGTTTTGAAACTTTGCAGGGTTGATTACTTCTAAATTCTTGACGCTCGTTGTTGGAAGTCACGCCACTTAGATCCCGGAAGCTACGCCACTTAAATCCCGGAGGCTACGCTATTTGAATCCCGGAGGCACTTCCATAGATAACGTCAGTGAAGAATCAGAGGACTAGACAGAGACTTTGTACCTGCATTGAATTATACACACGCTGTACACGAAATTTTGGGAATATATACAAAGTTTACTTTTTTTGTGTTTACAACCGTCTCTTGAATTTTGTAGCCCCCAAAATTTGAATAAATTCGGCGCGGCAAGCTTGACATTTCTTGTTATTCATAAATGTTCTGACATATCAAGTTGATCAAATAATTTATCTGTTGATTCTTGCTTGAGTATGAAACAATATCTCCGTGAATCAGCCTCCTTCGAGCGTCTCCGGTTCCATCGTAAAAAGATTGATATTCAGATGAAAATATATCAGTTATTTTCTTCTTCATGATCCTTGCAAAATAATATATTGGAACCTCTGTAAAAACTTCATAGTTGTTCATGGTGAGATGCTCATTTTCGATTTTGTGTTTGGTCCACCTTACATGGAGTGTTTCTTCATTAGGTGCCTGGATCTTGTGCATTCAACTTGGTTATTCTCCTTTTTACTTAGTCTCCATCTTGGGTTAGTCTCCCAAGCTAGCTAGTCTCCTTCTTGGGGTTAGTCTCCCAAGCTAGCTAGTCTCCTTCTTGGGGTTAGTCTCCAATACGGTGGTACCTAGTCTCAAGCAAGGTAAAAATGTTTAACTTAAGATTCAAACTTAAGATCATTTGACATTGCTTACACGTGTATCATCCAACTCTTCTAGCATGGTTCTTGTTGATTTATTCGCATCATAATTGTGTTAAGCTATAATCCCGCTTAACTTCTTCAAACAAATTATGATCTTCAAGACTTGTACAAATAACCGCCAACCTGGAGCAAAACAGATAAAAAAAATCTCGAAAATAATCTGTTAGAGCAATAAATTTATTCAGATAAATATTAT